TCTTTATAGGAGGAAAGCAAGACTATGTTTGTATTATTGCTGCATTTGCAGGACAAAAACAATACATAGATGACTTGGAGGTGATCGAGTTGGAAACAAGTCATTGGGTAATGGAAGAAAGGCCAGACGAAGTCAATCGAGCAATTGATGAATGGATCAAGAGGATTGTGTGATTCCGATGCATAATGTCTCATATCGATTGTTTCCTCGACTGAAGGAAGGATCAAATAAAATAAAATACGTTTATATGCTTGCTTGTATGATTTGCTTGTACGTGTAAAGTCACGTGTACACATGTATTTGTGCAGATTTAGAACAGCTATTTGAGATCAGATCTTTCCATGCTGACAATTCAACCAATGAGATGATTTTGCTGCTCGAGTTGCGGTAAACCAGATTTTCTTGTACTGCAGCTCAGTCAATCAGGTGATTTTACGGCCTAGCTTTCATCCAATCAGATTCTTTCATACTATGAATTCAGTCCATCAGATGTTTTCGATGTCGCGCTCTTGTCTAGTCAGGTTTTTCGGCCTAAAAGTTCAGCCAATCTGATACTTTTGCGTCGTAGCTCTCGTCGAATGAGATTTTTTCCGATGTGTGTCGAGCCAATCATATGTTTTTTTTCTATACGAGCTAAGATGTATGAAGTTTGCCGAGCCTATCAGCGTTAAAGAAGTGAATGCATACTAATATTTGATAACGAAGTCACATTTCTCACCAGTCTTCAAATACAGTTGAACATCTATGAGACCTAATGAGCTGTGAAACGACTCGCTGGAGGTGGTACCAACAACCGATCCGGAAAAGTTTCCTGGATTTTTCAGGTAAAAGTTTTGTTTTTAACGTAACGTATGAGAAAGTTGGCAGTTTTCACTCAATATGATGTGACATATATCTAGAATTGAAAATGTAGGATGGAGACGAAATCTAATCTTTACTGTGATTATGCAAAAAGTTTTTATAATGTATGCTCAATAACTGAAGTCTTGGATTTATTCGAATAGATTTAAGCTTCCATTTAACTTATAAATTCATATTTGAAAATTAAGAGTTGTGTACCAAGCACGCCACAACTACCGTTTATCATACATTAAATTTTTCCAAACTGCATTATAATCAAGAAAGAGACAAAAAGTTGCAAACTCACATGCGTAGTTTCTATATGTTATACCTTACTCAAAAGTTTAAGGTGATAGATATTTGTCGAGAAATGGGCCAGATTATGAGAACTAATTATGAGAACTAATTATGAGTAATAATTGAAAAAACTAACTCCGATTTCTCGACGTTTCAGTGAGATTTAATAGATTATAACATGGAAATTTGTACTTCGTGATGTGAATTTTCACTTTAAATAGTAAATGTTATCCCTCATTGTCGTGAGTAATGAAGAGATGTCAGGACACAAGATGTTTGTCACGTAAAGGTTTCTCAAAGAAAATTGATATATTATTTTTCTTATCAGTTTCTAGTGGCTTTGTGTCGAACCAAAAAAAAAATATAATTAGGTTTCTTCCGTTTAACATAATATTTACTCTCACAGGTTATATCCATGAATGGAAAAGATGTTATTTATCGGTTCTGATAATTCAAAGAACAAAAATTTAAGGATGTTTGAAATATCGAACAAAGAATTCATACAACGATCTTCCAGCGGCCTAGTGTGGGCTATGAGAAAAAAAATTACTTGAATTGAGATCACGCAAATTTGTACCGCATATCTGTGCGCTCGAGTTGTACTCAATGGCAGAACGACCGATTTTGTGACTTTTTTTTACTTCATTCCCTTAAACGATTTTCGTGATTTTAATGATTTCAAAACAACATACATTCCCGTACAAAAGTCTTTTTACTCGTCTTTCTTTTTATGCTCTCATACTGTGCCTCAAATTTATTGTCAAGTAATGATATGACATAATAGTTTTATTTCAATTTGATCTGTATATCACACTGAAATAAAACTGTCATGTCATACCTTTACTTCGTAATAAATTTGATGCAAACATTAATAATTGTTGGCAACCCTTTTCCAACCATACTGCATGTCCATAACTATCTGGAATAGGCAGGTATCACAATTATTCCACACCCATCGAATTCTCATGACCTGACACCATCTGATTTTGGGTAATTTTAAGTTCCAGAGAGAAATGTTCTGTTAAAGAGAAGTGACACACTGTGAATCATAGCGTTAGTGTTGAGTGTTTAAGGCCCCCCCCCCCACTCAAAAATCGATCTCAGCCCAGGTACGTTCAAATGGGCTGAAATTTGGAGCATATGTTGGCGCTGAAGTGGGGAGGCTGTGGTAAAATTTTCAGCTCGATACCCTGATGTTTGACAGAGATATGAACCAAACAAGGGTCAAAAATAGCTCATTTTCTGGCAAGGATTTCTCGGTCCAGACTCGATTAACATATTTAAAATTTTTTTTTGTTTGAAAGAGCATCTCAGGATGCAGGGCACTACAGAGTCCTTTTTTTTTAAGTCTTACTTTTTTCGCGGAGAAAGGGGCTCGCAAGTTCAATGACTCAAAAAAGGCGCCAAAAATGGGTGTCCAGTCACATAAGTGTCTGTATATATAATAAAAAACAAAGCTTAATTAAAAAAAGGACTCTGTAGTGCCCTGCATCTCGACGCGCTCTTTCAAACAAAAAAAAAATTTAAATATATTGACAGAGCCTGGACCGAGAATTCCTTGCCAGAAGATCAAAAAAATCATAAATCGAGAAAAAACGAAAAACATTTTTTGATTTTTCAAAAAACAGCTGGTTTTTCGAATAGGGGTTGACGGAAATCTTGAAAATTTTTGGGGAAAAATGAAGTAACGAGAAAAACAAATTATCGTTTATGAAAGAGCAGATGACGGGCTATCTTCCCATGCATTTATCTCAATTTCGAAATTTTTGACGAAAATTGACTTTTTTTGAGTGGGGGGGGGGCCTTAAGATAATCTGTCCCTTTCTCAGCCGCCAAACAAAATCAAGCTTTAGTTTTCATTGTTATTTAAATTCTGTAAAAACAAATCATTGTTTAAAATCTTCTGTATCAAAAGATTGCTTTATTGAACGTTTGGATAGAAAATCCTCTTCATTATAACGATTATTTCATGGTCAAAACTAATGTCCGCGTCAGAATTAAACAAGGCCCAATATGATGCAAATAACTTAAGAACGCAAGCAGCTAGTGATGTGCAATTTTCACCAATCGATAGAGGATTATAAGGAGCATAAGTGGATATAAAAACAAAAGATTAGATAATTGTGCACAATAGTTAGATAGTGAAAATCATTGAAGGAGTAGGTTTGTTACTTAATGAAATCTAAATCGATCAACTGAAATTTGCAGCACATATAATCCCACTCTAGTTCAGTCTTCTCTAAAAATATGATCGATAAATCTTGTAATAGACGAGGGATATCATGGCCATCATCATTTAGCTTAACATAAGGCTACTATTCACTCAATATATGACACATGAGTTCAATGCTTCGCTGAATAAATACCATAATCTAGACTTCTTATCTATGCAACAATAGCATACTTTGGTCATATAAATGTACGGAAGCAGAAAAAACTCGATGAAGAAATGATTCTTCTACATTACATGTATTAAAACAAATCTCCCTAACTTTCATAAGGAAAATATAGGATTTTATCATATTTTCACCGAATCTTCGCATTCATATGACCAATGTATGATATTATTGCATAAATATAAAGTCTAGATTATGTTATTTATTCAGAGAAATGTTGAAACCATTTCTTGATATATTGAGTGCATAGCAGCCTTATGTAGTGCTAAATGACGATGGCCATACCATCTTTCGACATTACAAGATTTATTGATGATACTTTTAGTTAAGTTTGGACTACAGAGCGGCTATATATGCTGAAAATTTCAGTTTGATCGATTGAGATTTCATTAAGTAACAAACCTATTCTTTGAGTGATTTTCACAATCGAGCTATTGTGCCCAATTATCTGATCTATTGTTTTTCGATAAACTCATGTCCATTACAACCCTCTAAAGATTGGTGAAAATCGCACTTCAATAGCAGCCTATGTTCTCAAATTATTCGCATTGTACTGAGCTCTCTATAACTTCGGTACCGCGATTAGTTTCATCATTGAATGATAGTTCCCAGATACCACAGTACAACCGCAATATGTCTTTGGATTTATCGGAAAAATAAAAACTCCAATACAATATTCCATATCGGAAGAGTTTCTCTTTATTAGGTCTCCTTGTCGATGTGATACTATCATCTAAATGATGATGATAAACATAAAAAGTGCAACGAGCTAGCGAAAACTATCTTGAGACGATATAAATGTGTGAGAACCTCACCCATCACACCTTCACTCTCATCCTCGCCCATTACACCTTCACCCTCATCCTCACCCATCACACCTTCACCATCACCCTCACCCATCGCACCTGCACCCTCATTCTCACCCATCACATCTTCACCCTCATCCTCACCCATCGCATCTCCATCCTGATCCTCACCGATCACACCTGCATCCTCATCCTTACCCATCGCACCTTCACCCTCATCCTCATCCACCCTGATCCTCACACATCATACCTCCACCGTCATTCTCACCCATCGCACCTTCATCGTCAGTTAGGTATGCACTGAAGTTGCAGAGTAAATATCACTATAGCCTTTATCACCCATTTGTTTCTATTGCAAACACAAGCACACACGTATTTCTTGACGATGATGATGTATTTAGAAGAAGGACAGAATAAAATGTGTGCTTGGTCGACAACATTGTCAGATGCTTGTTTTAAACATATAGCGCTGCTAGAGGTGGAACCAGTACCAGCGACCGACCGGTCCTACCATATCTGTCCTATTTAGACCGGTACTGGTCGTCAAAAAGCCCCACCAGTTCCATCTCTAAATTATGCTAATATAGTTTGAGAAATCATCACTATTTTTTGTTGTTAGGTACAGAAAATGCAGCTGTGTATCATCTTTCAGCTATTCTTAATGTTGATGGTAGTAGTCGGAAAGTCCAATGGAATTGCGAGTCCGGTTCAACCATTTACTACTTACAAACATTCAATTGAACTTCAAGAAAATGTAGCTGATCTTTGGTGGACAGTGGACGCTGATGCACAAGAGATTATTTTCGAGTTGCATGTTAAGACTACCGGATGGATCGCTTTGGGCATCAGTCCAGGTATTAAGAATTCAAATAAACTATCACAATTATCATTTTTTTTCTCTGAAATATTGAGCTGGTGGAATGATAGGAGCTGATATAGGTACTGGCTGGGTCGACCAGGCAGGAAATGTTCATTTTCAAGTATGTACATCTCATACATTATGATTAAAATTGATTGGTCTATCTTTTTCAGGACAGACATGCATTCAATTTTTCACGACCTGTCATCGACAATACAACGCAAGATTGGTTTCATCTGCAAGGTCGTGAACAAAATGGATGGACATGTATTCAGTTTAAACGTTTGCTTGACACCTGTGATTCAATGGATGTTCGAATCAGGGTAAGAGATGATTTTATTAGGTATCATTAAATAAAGCATTTTTCAATCAATATAGTCTGGAACCAACATTGTCATTTTTGCCTATGGTCTTGTCGATCCCGATTTGTCTCGACAGGATGGTGACATATCATATCATGATGATCGACGAGGTACTCGAATGATTCCACTTCAATCTTATGGAAATCCACCATCGGAGGACAAATTTGCTGGACTGGATTCGTTCGAGTTTCGCTTGAACAATGTGAGCTGTTTGCTCGTTCATTCTGCATCAAATACAACTTGATATATATATTTTTTTTTTTTTAGTATCGAGTTCCATCGACTGAAACAACCTATCATTGCAAAGTATACAAAGCTCCTAGTCGTTTTTCGACAAAGCGGCATGCTATCGCAGTACGTATCAGAGATAAGCAACTCTCAATGTGAGGTTATAGAGCGAAGCGAAATTGAAAGGGAAAATTTAGCTTTGACTACTGTCGGTACATCATTAAAGATCAGTAGTTGGTGCTCCACAGTTTGTTTTTTTTTGTGTATACAGTTAGGATTTCAAAAGATGATACAAAAAGAGACGTTTGCTTGATCAGAATCGAAGCTTTTTTAAATGTTTTTTTCTTCTCAGCACAAGGCATTGATCGATCCAGCTAATCGTGATATTGTACATCATCAGCTTGTTTACGAATGTGATCCTGCTGCTATATTCGACGATGCCAATCTGCCTGAGGGTCTGTGCGATGAAATCAATCCTCAAATTGAACTGTGCACAACAAACATTGCCAGCATATGGGCTGTCGGTGGCGACTATGTATGTTTCTTTAATGCCAAGAAAAATAATGCGCATATAGAGTTTGAATAGATGGAAGAGTTTGCTGAAGAAGCGGGCTATCCTGTCGCCGGTGATTTTCCCATCAAATATTACGCAATTGAAATGCACTATAACAATGCAAAACAACTTTCGAGTAGGACGTTGTATATCAAATAAAGACATATAGTAACTATTGTCGTTTCCATTGTAGATCGTACCGACAGCTCAGGCATTCGATTTTATATTGGCAATGAACTTCGTCAATATGACCTTGGCTATCTTTCATTCGGCACATATGCAAACGCCGCCGCCCTTGCCATTCCACCGAGAGTGGATCGATTTAACGTCGACTCATATTGTTCTCCTCGAGCTACTCAGGTATCTATTCGATACAATAAGAGTTTCTTATACATTTGTTTTTTATAGAATTTTCCTGAATCCGGTATCACACTTCTATCAACCTTTCCTCACACTCACTTACAAGGCAAATAAATGATTTTAATATAACTTCAAATCACTTTTCGATATTTAACTAAATAGGTCATAGTATATGGACGAAATTGATTCGAAATAATACAGCTACCCAATATTTGTTTAATGTTGAAGCATATGATTTCAATTATCAGTTTCAGAATGTTCTACAAAAACGAATCAAACTCTATCGAGTAGATGAAAAAAAAACAACATTTCTCAATTGTGTCTACAATTTATCTTGTAGGGTGATGCGTTTGTCACTCGATGTGTCTACAATACAAGAAATAAAAATGAGATTACACTGGTATATAATGATGAGAGAGAGAGAGAATGTATTCTATCTCACTGTGTGTTTTTTTTTCATCAGGGCGGTCCGCGAACAAAAGATGAAATGTGTCTTCACGTATTCACTTATTATCCTCGAATGAATGACATGTATTCATGTTGGACAATGAATACTATGTCAGCGTGGCAAAATATGCTGAATACTCCTTCGTAAGTTTCATTAGATTTTAAATTCATCTGCCAAAACTTGAAATTGATTGTCTCAGACCGATAACAGACCGCAAAATACTGAAACAGCAGCTACTCAATATAACATGGACGGCTGAATTAGCTAGAGAATGGCAAGAATTCTATAACAATGCGTCACGTGATATCTACTTTGGCAGATCAGGACATTTGAAACACGAGGTTGTTACTACATTACCTAAATATAAAGATCTACAGCCTTTGGAATGTGTAAAACAACAAACTACAAAGCTCGCCGTTACCACTACTATCAGTTATAATTTAGCTGATCGTCAGAAGATATTCGTTCTTCTCACACTCATTCCATTTATAATGAAAAAAATTTTTGAATGAATAAAATGATACTTATTTCAGTTCACATGACAAAATAATGTGACCTTACCTTTGTGTGGAGCTGAATTTTCAATTTGTATTGCAAAGTATACATTTAGTGTAGCATCTTGTCGATAACGGTACGAAAAATGAATGATTTTCAAGGTAACCAAAATGGCATTTTGGCATTTATCTTCTTCTATGATTTCCTCAAATTTTAAATGCACTATTAGAAAGAGCGTGACAAGTTGCACTAGAATTGTGGACTGAACAGTTGTTCTACGTTATGAAGCTGTTTTAGCCAATTCTAATATTGATTTTTTCGCAGTGTTAATATGACAATTGAAATTGACTATCTTAACTTTATAACGTTGAATATTTGTTCAATCTGCAATTTTAGTGTAGTTTATCGTGCTCTTTCTAATGACGCGTTCAAAATTTGTGGAAATTATAGAAGAAAAAGAATGCCATTTCAATCGATAATTTTTGGTATGTCTTGAAAATCATTCATTTTCGCATCGTTTCCGACAAGGCTCTACACTAAATTGTAGTTCATCGTTCAGAGAGGAATTTTCTCTATCGAATAGCCTGTCATGGAGAAGTTTAAAGTTGAAATAGGAGCGTCATGGTTCAGAAAAAGAGAGTTCGGGGATTATTTTAATAAACAGTAAAGGAGAACATCATGCGATTATTTAGCCAATAGCAAATCGAAAATCAATTGATTCAGGGTACTAGCAAAATATGCTCTGATCCACTCTGAGCCAAGAGGGGAAAGCTGAGGTTTTTGAGATTCTTACTCAAAAAAACACAATTTTCAATCAAATTTATCAGAAATACCACTTTTTCGAAGGAGGAAGAGCTGAGATTTTTGAGTTTTTCCTTTTTTGAGATTTTTCGTGGTTGAATTTCGCTCAAAAAATTCAGTTTTCAGCTTTTCTCCCTTGCTCTGAGCGCCATTTTACTATTGGGTCCAGTTCTAAGCCATTCTGGAAGAAATATCTCGAGCATAGTGTGCAAAAACTTCTTAGGACGGTCCATTCTTACCCACTATGAGCCACTCAGCCAAAAGCTCAAAAACAATAAATCTTCGAAAAAATCAAGTCAAACGGTCCCTGTAACTTTTTAAAATCTGTGCAGAGGTGGTCCAGATAACTTTTTATGGGGCTACTTGGTAAGAATCTATGTTCCCACATTATTTCTCTGAGGTAATCAGATTTGAGCAAGGGTTTTCTTTACTACAGTAAGAATAGAACACCGTACTGTTCGAGCCATATGAGAAAGAACTTCAGATAACCCCCTAATTGACTGAAACAACACGTATTCTATTCTTGCTATAGTGAAGAAAGTCCTTGCTGAAATATGATTAGCTGAGAGAAATAATGCAGAAACATAGATTCTTTCCAAGTAGTCCCATAAAAAGTTATAGGGACCATTTGACTTGATCTTTCTGAAGATTTTGTTTTTGAACTTTTGGATCAGAATGGGTGAGAGTGTACCCCGTTCTAAGAAGTTTTTCCACTTGAAGTTCGAGATACTTCTCCCAGAATGACTCAGAGTGGAATTCAATAGGCTCAGAATTTCAAGGTTTATCGACTGCTATAAGTGTCTCGTAAAACGGCGCTCAGAGTGGATCAGAGCGTATTTTACTAATATACATTGATTGATCTGAAATTTTGTATGGATATACTAGAGACTATAGGCTACTATATGGTGAAAACGAAACCATTTGAGCTTATTCAGCTTCTAAGATATAGATGAAACAAAAGAATTCCATCTGCTTGCCTTGTAATTTTGAGAGCCACCGTGCTTTACTGACAAAAATGAGTCTTGTCAAAATGTTTGCCAAATAAAACCGAATCGGTACACGATAAATTATAGAATATCTAAATGATCGATTTTATTGAATTTGTTTTTCGCTCTATCTCCTAATATATCGTATTAAATATTTAGTTACTGTGGTGTCGGGCTAGAGGATTCTAGCTTTCGGAAGCAATTTTTTTGTAGGTTTTTCATGGAAATTGAGAGTACTCAAAAGTTGGGCTAGACTAACTTTTACCAACATAAACGAAAACACTAAACATTTGGATTTAGCAGTTGTTGACATCGCTGATTCAGATGCACATATTATATCAAACAATTGAATGTTGATCAGCGCCTAGGTTTCTCTCTTAAAAAGTTTTCTATCAAGCTGATATTGAGAAGCAGATGCGAAAGAAATCATTTGATTGCATTACTATTTGCAGTCAAAAACATGTTACGCCAAAAAATCTTCCTCAGTTACAGGCATATTGATCGTGCCAGAAAGTTGTCACCACTATGAAATACAGCACTTTTTATAATCATGTTTAATTCTGTTTGGGCTAAGATGGTTTCTTTTTATACACTAAAACGTCATTTTCTGTACAGATAAAACTAAAAAAATTGAGTTTTATTTGGTTTTGAACAAAGAGTTTAAAAAATCCATAACTTTTTCAAGAAAAGTCATGGAACGCTGAGGGCATGGGCGAGCCATCATGAGGCAATTAGTGGCAATTGTCACACCTGAAAAAATTTTTCTATTGAAAAAGTTTTGAAACTAGCACAGAGCCAGTCAAAAAAATGCTTGTTACCACAGTCAAATGCTTTATTGCCATATCTAAAAGTTCTTGGTTGGCCCGCCACTGGGTGAGGGTGATCTCTTTTTGTAGTTCAGGCTTTCTTCTACCTTAGTATCTTATTCAGCTTAAATAAAAAAATTTCTGTGAAACACGATTGTTCATGAGAGTTGAAGTATATGGCTAGAAAGTTGAATGTATTCTGCCTTCCTCATCCATCGCAAAGCCTGTAACACACATGCCGACATACTTCTCTTCGGCCTTCATCATGAGCTGTAATACGCGTGGCAAGGATCCTCGTGTACGATTAAACCGACTCCATCATATTTTACATATTAATCTTGTAGGTATTAAGCTGAAAGGTTTTTAAAATACAAGGAAAAGCTGTATCCCTCAGCAAATATCTTGCTCTTTTCAATAGTGAGTAGGCTACTGTTACATTTTGATTCAACATAACAGTATTCCTTTTCGCGTAGATCTGAAACTATATCAGAGTAAATAACGAAAGATTTCAAAAGATATCTACTTTTTCTTCTCATGAAGATGCGAAGAGTAAAAATGATAAAAGAAAACTGCGCACTATCTAAAACTTTTGAATAATAGCTGTTGATACTAATACTGTAATTCATTCATAATACATAAGAGAATTGTACAACCCATATTCAACACTAATACAAAGAACAGTGCTTGCCGAAAAATGTTTGCGGTACCCTACGACCCACTGGTAAGTAGTCGTTAAAAAATGACTGGTATTTATTATACGCCAGTTACAAGAATGCAATACTAATTAATGTTAAGAGATAGAGTAGGCGTTGTGTGAGCCTATGATTCAATAATATCTAATCTATTTCTGACAATAGTATCCAACACCTGCCAGATTTTTATAGATAACAAAAATTTGCTTTTCACTTTATCACTACTAATATCTATGTCATTGTGCTAGCGATATTCTTGCAGGAAAAAACTTTGAGTATTCAAAAGTGTTTTGTTAAGCCATACAAACCACAGAGGATGGCTCGGCAAACTAAGACAACTGTTCAGTCGACAAATAATCTTCTCATCGTATTGCATTTTGACTGGCGCATTTCTTAAAATGACTTTGCGCTTTGAAAAATGTTGTCTTGTACAAATTTTGCCTTAAGTTTACGTATCTGAACAGAATAACAGACAGAAAGAAATTACTGAATTTTCACATTGTTTTGATAAAAATGTTACTTCAACAAGGAAAAGTAGTACAGGGTTTAGAGACGTCTCATTTGATTCAGACTTTAATTGTTATAATTCGACCTTATTGGATTATCGAGGAAGCTATACCATAGACCTGAACTGAGTCGAACTGTGTTTGACTCGAGCAACTACTCTTTTTTTGAAAGTCTTCAACAGTCCTTTCAACTGTTTCTCAGCATTGGTCGTTATTATCATTTGGTGAATTGGTACGATACAATGTTAGCTCATTGCAGTGAATTAGTCGAACAAAATAGGACGATGAATAAACGGGGTATGGGTGGTTGTGGGTGAAGACAAGACCTAAAACCATACCCATAACCGCACCCATAACCGCACCCACACCCTCTTTCAATA